CGTGCGATTTCAAAATGGATCTAATAAAGTGGCAATTGAACTTCGTGTCGTGCAATTTTGGTCTGAAATCATACTTGTGATTTCAAATCGAACTCGCGATTTTGAAATCACTCGTATGATTTCAGACCAAATTGCACTCCACTCAGTTCAATTACCATTATATATAGCAGGCGGGGGTTTTCCTAATCAGCCGATGATGTATTTTAAACCCATATTATGACTTCAGGATTACCGGGCTGAAAACAAGCTTCTTCTCACAGTATGGGGCGCCGAAAGCAACAGCGACCAGCGGATTAATCACGTAATGGCCGCTCCGCTCCGCTTCTTTCATTCCCGGTTATACCCCACTAAGGAGGCTGCCTACAGCGAGATTTATAACAGTTTTTGTTCCCTCAATACTGTTCTATGAAATGTAATCTGCATGTACAAGATCAATGCCGCTAAGACTGTGACCTGGCAATGTCTTTATATAAGGTATACCTAAACCGATTCAAAAGACTATAAACACTGTCTTCCAATCCTCCGTAGGAAATAAGTGGTTACGGGTACATCTACCGATAATTCTTAGAGGCAGTAACCTTTCACAACGCCCATAAAATCGTACAGAAAAGTTTCAACATCTTAGTCAAACCCAAGCATACACAATTTCTTAGCAAAGGAAAACATTCGCAAAAATTTGGCTTTCCTTGAGCCAAATGAATTGTGTAAGGTTCGCATGGTAATGTGGTAAATGTACAGTCACCATTTGTTTTTCCTTCGGAGGATTTGGACTCAACACCCTGCGTTCACCAGGCATCAGTAGACTTCAAGTTGTCAGCGGGCATTCCCAGTAATGGATGGTGCATTTCACACTTTGCGAGCCAGAGCCATAATGTCCATAACACTCACAGTAGTAATATAAATGACCGTTGACTGGGTGTATTTCGGTTGAAAGCAAATACTGCTGCGCGTTGTCTGCTGAGCATGTCGCGCCCACTATTCTTTTACCCTGCGAAGAAAAGAGCAATTTTGTTTCATACATTAACTCAAAGGAAAGGAGACGTGTACTGAGTTGCCTGAATGATGAACAAAATACAACATCACGGGTTAACTTTATTTGCTTCCTTCAAATACGCCAACAGGCACACGCTTGGTTCGATTCAAATTTATGGAGTGAACTGGTTCGCAATAGGCCACTTTCGATATTTCAATATATTTTAACGTGTCTCCGAGGCTTTCAAGACAAATTCCTATAGTTGGCGGTGTCTTCTTTGTATCCACGTCTCGTTAAGGAATTATAAAAGGGACAAAAGAAACTTTCAGAAATTGCAATTTTGTCCTGAAAGCCTCGGAGCCATGTTAGGATATTGATATATCGAACATGGCCTATTCAACCCATAAGACGCGCCATTAAGTGACCCATTACCTAAGATGAAGCATGCTGATAAAATTCAATTAACCAAAACGAAAAATTGCTTATCTCTTTATCCAATACGAGGCGTTTCAAAAGAAAGCTCCGATTACTTGTTACTGTTTATTATGCTATGGCTGACTAAGTGACATTACACTTTTAGACCCCTGTGTGAACATCAAGTGTATAACAAATCAAATAAAAGCTTTTGAGCAGTACGTTTAGAATGCTTTAATTTATTAGCAGGTTTTTAATTTTCTCCCCGCATAAAATTCTTATGTGTGACCATTCAAGCAAAAGCTATTGAGAATAACGTTGATGTGGTACTTTTTACTGTGCGGCTCGACAAGGTGTTTTCGAGATATGTCAATAAAAGTCTTTAAAGTGTTGATAATTCATGTGAAAGCGATTTTAGCGGGAATAGACCATATTCGTATTTCCGGTATATGACTTGAACTAGCTTGCAATGGAGGCTCATGCGCAGGAATATCAATGAAAAGGGATGATTCCATTTGCATTTGAAAACACTCCCCGCATTGGCCTCAGCTGCGAGCTAATTCCAGTCTAATACCGAGAATACGAATATGGTCTATTCCAATTGGTACCGTTGGTTTTTAATATGTTGACAAGGTGATCTTTACCTCGAAACCTCGACCAAACGATTGCAACATTTCAACACAACATGTCCCAACATTGTTGGCCCAGCATTTGAAAGCCTCGGCCAAACGATCGCAACATTTGAGCGCAACACATCCAAACATTGTTGGGCCTAACATGTTGCGTGCATTTGGCCACCTTGTCGCGACGTGTTACGATATGTTGGGTACTGAAAATCGAACTAGTGTGCATGCCCGAGCGCAACATTGTTGGACGGACCCGGCCAAACGACTACAACATTATGCAACATCCACAAATGTTGCATGAAAAATTTGACCATTTTCAAATTCGAGCCAACAACACCCAACATGTCGCAACACGTCGCAACAGGGAAGCCAAACGGGCGCAACATGTTGCTCTCAACAATGTTGCGATATGTTGCGTTGAAATGTTGCGATCGTTTGGCCGGGGCTTGACATGTACAATAAGGTAGTGTTTTACCTAATTGTGACCCGTTTCGTTCCGGAATCATCATTTGACGGCATTGAGTATACTTACGCTTGGTTCTT